GGGTGGGATGAGGAAAAAGGAAGTCGTGCCAGAGGCAGCCCAGTGGAATTTGGCATATCAGTACAAATGTGAATTCAGAAATTGGAATAAATTTAGGGAGATACAAAATAACCCTAGAACTTTCATCTGCAAAATTATTTGAATTTTAATCTTCATTTTTTATTTTGGTAATTAAACTCATTGATCGCTGCTCACAATGAGAATATGTTATTGCAGCGGGAAAGGGCAATGAATACAAACTCTTTCATCATGTGCCAAGGAAGAAAGTTTAGAACTTCTGCTTGTTCATATCTCATTGTCAGAACATGTTTGCTCAAATTCACTGTTTTATAAAGTCTGCAATGAGGTGAACCCATTAAAAACAGTCACCAGAAGAGTTATTTGGGAATTTAAATGTAGTAGGTAGTTTTGATTCTTTTGCAAAACATTCAGCCTTTGTTTTCCTCATTAGAAGCACATTCCTTTTAAACTTGATTTACTAAAAAGAACCAAGGAAAATACAAGCTGGCATTTGGTTATTTTCAGTTTTCAGAAGAGATTTATTTGCATAGCTAAAATAAAGGGAATTAATTCCAAATCTGCCATAAATAATCCTACACAATAACTTCTAACTGAAACTGCTTGTATTTGGAAGAATCTGTTGTTTATGACTCCTCATGCAAAATGTAATATGATCTGCATAACACGACAGATCAGTGCACCACTAATTCAGTGGTATTTATCCTGTGTCAGATGCAGTGTAGTAATGGACCACTAAAAGTTAAAGGAGACGTGACATTCTTTAATAGTGATGCAGAGCGTTCAATGCAGAAAACATTTCCTTTAAGAAAAAATTGGTTCAACAACGCTCACACATTGCACCACAAATTAATCCCTGAAACATTGATAAAACAACAACTCCAAAGACATTGAACATGCATTTCTGCTAAAGTAATCATTGACTCCCTTTCTTGTAAGAACATAAGAACCAGGAGTAGGCCATTCAGCCCCTCGAGCCTGCACCACCATTTGATACGATCATGGTTGATCTCATCTTGGCCTCAACTCCATGTTCCTGCCTGCTCTCCATAACCCTTCAAATCATTACTAATTAAAAACCTCTCTATCTCTTCCTTAAAATTACTCAATGTCCCAGCACCCACCACAGCCTGAGGTAGTGAATTCCACAGATTCGCAACCCTTTGAGAGAAGTAATTTCTCCTCATCCCTGTTTTAAATCTGCAACCCCTTTTTTAAAAACTATGACCTCTTGTTCTAGACTCCCCCACATGAGGACACATCCTTTCTATGTCTACTTCATCAATTCACTTTAGCATCATATATACATGAATTAGGTCTCCTCTCCTTATACCAAATATCAGAGAGTTAGGCCTTAACAGCTCAAGCTCTGTTCATAAGACCATGCTGTCCTCCTTACCGGCCAACAATGTTTGTATCATCCGTGAATTTAACGATCAACTCTCCTGCATTCATTCTAAATCATTTACATATACTACAAAGAGTAAGGGTCCCAACACTAACCGTATGGAACCCCACTTTAAGGGCATTTAAATGGTCATTGGATAAACATATGGATGATAATGGAATAGTTTAGGTTAGATGGGCTTCAGATTGGTTTCACAGGTCAGCGCAACATCGAGGGCCGAAGGGCCTGTACTGCGCTGTAATGTTCTATGTTCTATGTTCTATGGGCTTCCAGTCACAAAACACCCCTGAACCATGACCTTCTGCTTTGTGCCAGTCAGACAATTTTGGTTCCAATTAACCAAATTTCTTTGGATCCCATGGCCTCTTACCTTTGCTACCAGTCTTCCGTGCGAGACATTATCAAAGGCCTTGCTGAAGTCTAAGTACACTATGTCAAATGCATTGCCATCATCTACACACCAGGCCACCTCTTCAAAAAAGATCAATCAAATTGGTCAGACATGACCTCCTTTTAATAAAACCAGGCTGACAGTTCTTGATTAATCCCTACCTCTCCAAGGTCGGATTAATTCTCTTCCTCAGAATTATTTCTAATAGTTTCCCCATCACTAAGGTTAGGCTGACAGGCCTGTAGTTTTCTGGTTTATCCTTTGCTCCTTCCTTGGACAGCGGTATCGTATTGACTGTCCTTCACTCCCCTGGCAACTCGCCTGTGGACAGAATTTTCCAATGAGATGGCGGCAGAGTAAGGCTTCTGAGCCTGGGGTTTGTCCACTCCGTCCGCTTTTCTTTTCATTCCTTTTTACTTTTCTTCCTCTCTTTACACTATTTTTTTTCTACTTTTCTCTTTTATTTTACTAATCTCTTGTTGAAGAGCTCGGTCACGGCGACCATATTGGCGACAGCAAGTAGACCCAGTACTGAATCGTCTAGGCCCAGCAGGGACTTGTGTAGGCTCAGCAGTGTGGACCCTTGGCAGTCAGAGTGGGCCTAGTGCAGACACGTGGCGGTGGCGTCAGAGGTGAGTGTGCGTACCCACCGGCTTCTGCATTGACAAGGCGATCGTAATGCCATGTCATGAAGACTAAGACAGAGGCCGGTTTTGGGCCCAGTGCGAGACCTGATGGCATCAACAGCGGCTGCATTGGCAAGGTGGGTCCGAAGTAAGCTCTACAGTTGCGTTTAGGCCAGTGCAGCACCTGGCAGTATCGGTGACATCTGCATTGGCAAGGTCCAGCGTGGACTCAGTGGTGAAGGCATTGGTGGAGGTGAGATGTCACTGAAGAGTGATGACTTTTGTTCCTGCAGTGGCAGTGTGGCAAAGGTGACTCAAGCCTGGCCACCAGGCCCGTGGTGGAGCTCTTAACAAGAAGGGCTGTAAAGTTGGACACTATTTATTTATTCTTCTGCCTTTATATTCTATCTTTTAGTTTATTTTTCTGTGTTTTAAGATGGCGCCAGAGAGTGGTGACACTATACAACACATTACACTGTATTCTCTAACAGAATACACATGACAATAAATAAATCAAATGATTGCTAGCACCCTTGATTCCTCCCTTGCCTCTCGACAGCCTGGGATACATTTCATCCAGCCCTGCATACTAGTTTGCTGTGATTCAGGTATGAGGATTCCCAGATCTCTCTGCCCAAGCTTAATTCTCTTAATTCAGATAATAAGTCTCCTTTCTATTCCCCCTATTTAAATGGAGAACCTCACAGTTATCCAAGTTAAACTTCGTAAAATCATGGAATTCTTACAGTGCAGAAAGAGGCCATTCAGCCCATCGAGTCTGCACTGACCGTCTGAGGAGCATCCCACACAGACCCACCCCTCCACAAACCCCTGCCCAACCCCACATGGGGTTCTTACCATGGTTAAACCACCAAACCTGTGCATTCCTGGACACTATGGGGCAATTTAGCATGGTCAGTCTGCCTAATCTCTAGATCTTTGGACTGTGGGAGGAAACCGGAAACCCATGCAGACACAGGGAGAACATGCAGCACCAGAGACCTGCGTCAGTTTCAGCCTTGGGCGACCGTGCGTCTGGAGTTTGCACATTCTCCCTGTGTCCACGTGGGTTTCTTTGACACATTAATTTAGGATATTGTTGACTGAACATGTATCTGTATCATGGATATTTTTGGAAACAACACTTCGCAAAGCAAAGGAAACTGACTGCAGCAGTGATAAAATGTTGCCCTTGTGAAGAACACAAGTTACTAAAGTGGAGTGACTGAGTCTCCAATACTTTCAGAGAGCAGTCACTTTAGACTTTATAGAGTCATACAGCATGGAAACAGGCTCTTCAGTCCAACTCATCCACACCAACCAGACATCTGACCTACTCCTATTTGTCAGCATTTAGCCCATGTCTCTCTAAACTCTTCCTATTCATATATCCATCCTGATGCCTTTTAAATGTTGTAATTGTACCAGCCTCCACCGCTGCTCAATTCATAGACACACCACTCTCTGCATGTAAAAGTTACCCTCAGGTTGTTTTTAAATCTTTCCCCTTTCTCCATAAACAATAATTATTATGTGAGAGTTCCTTCAAGCATGAAGTGATCCAATGGAGATTAGGTTGTGCATCTTTCTAGTCTAACTGGAAGAGCCTGATTGAGTGGGTGATATGAAGTTCCTTGCATTTCTGCAACTATTTACAGGTTACATAAATGTAACCAACATTGTTATAGAGACAGTTCAAAGAATATGAGCCCTAGGCCTGACCCCTACAAGTTCTTTCTTTATTCTGACAAAGTTCTCGTGACATCACCACAGTGTGTAATGCATGCGGCACTCATTCAAGAATTAACTCTTTCAGACACTTCTAGATACACAGTAATCAGGAGCAAGTCCCTTTCTAACACCAGGAGTTCAGGCTGATGGAAACTACTTGACCCAGTTTGAAAGTGTAATAAGACTATCAGAGACATGACTTGCCTGGTGCTATAGCTTTTTCCCTTGGTCTTCTTTGAAATACCCTCTCATCAAAGCAAAACTCAGTGGAAAGTCTCGTCATGCTAAATGGACAACTGGAAAAGCAACTTCAATCAGCCATAACTGATCCAGGAAGGCACTCTAGAGCTTGTGTGCAAAATTACTTTGGCTGCAGACAAACAATCGGACAATCTGTGAATAATCCTTTTTCCTGAATGTAACTGTTAGTTAGCCAAAGTTTCCTTTGAGATTCTGAGTGCGTGTATAATTTTTCAAGAAGAGTCATTGTAAATATTTGCACAATTTAAATATTCTGTTAATAGTCTTTGCTACAGGATGCTTTGGTTGTTTGGTTAAGTTGGCCAGGTTTGCTACTGGCTGATTTGTTTCTGATACTGAGCTCTGCATGGTATGTTTGGGAATGTCACTGTCAAAATTCAAACTTTGTTGTGAGTGTGAAGGAGTGATTCCAGGAAAGTAATTAGTCCACCCCTCTTAATCGTGTTGCAACAATTTAAGCACTGAAGGTTCTTCAGTGTGTATCTAAGAGGAGGTTATTCTTGTATTAGGCTCCTGTCAATAATGCAGTTAATCAGGAATATTTTGTGTTCTTTATGTGTTACAGGTACTACAGAACTATTTCTACGCCAATGTTTTTGGACAGTAGAATTTTGTCTCCTTTTCCCTAATGGCTCCAAATTCTGTCGATCTTGTCGGATTTATGCCGGGGGTATTTGACAGTGGACAACACCAAGTCATTCTCTGGATTCTGCTTGCCGTTGTCTGTGCCTTTTTGCTCCTGACCATTCTTATTTTTCTATGCAATAACTGTTACAGGTAGGAATGACATTTCACATGGGAAATGGGTTGCAATATTGCATGATGTTATATTACAAAGCATTGACATTGAATGTCAAACAACTAAATTTCAAGTGATCCCATACCATTGTAGCCCACCAGTAACTGACATGAAATTCTTCTGTTCAAATGCGATTTTTCTATTTTCCAGTGTAATTGATGTGTGCGGCTCTAAGGGCATCTCCAGCAGTCTCTAATCTGATGACTCTTCACAGAACAGAAGGAGTTTTTTTTATAGAGGGGAACACTGCAGCAATATGATGAGGCAGCATGAGTTTCAAGATCAATAAACAAAGTGGGTTTGTGAGACATGGTAGCTTAGCAATGGATCAAAACCAAGATGAACTTATCTTCAAATGAATGACGTGGATAACACTTTATGAGATTTCAAGGTTAATCATGCTGAAATTTTGAAGTTCTGTTATCTTTTTGTTCCTTCAGAATTTTTTAAACTATCTTTGGATTTGTCTCAATCTGGGTTAGAACATAGATAGAACATTACAGCGCAGTACAGGCCCTTCGGCCCTCGATGTTGCACTGACCTGTGAAACCAATCTGAAGCCCATCTAACCTACACTATTCCATTATCATCCATATGTTTATCCAATGACCATTTAAATGCCCTTAAAGTTGGCAAGTCTAATACTTTTGCAGGCAGGGCATTCCATGCCCTTACTACTCTCTGAGTAAAGAACCTACCTCTGACATCTGTCCTATATCTATCACCTCTCAATTTAAAGCTTTGTCCCCTCGTGCTAGCCATCACCATCCGAGGATAAAGGCTTTCACTGTCCACCCTATCTAATCCTCTGATCATCTTGTATGTCTCTATTAAGTCACCTCTTAACCTTCTTCTCTCTAACGAAAACAGCCTTAAGTCCCTCAACCTTTCCTCATAAGACCTTCCCTCCATACCAGGCAACATCCTGGTAAATCTCCTCTGCACCCTTTCCAATGCTTCCACATCCTTCCTATAATGCGGCGACCAGAACTGTACGCAATACTCCAAGTGCGGCCGCACCAGAGTTTTGTACAGCTGCAACATGACCTCATGGCTCCGAAACTCAATCCCTCTACCAATGAAACCTAACACACCGTACGCCTTCTTAACAACCCTATCAACCTGGGTGGCAACTTTCAGTGATCTATACACATGGACACTGAGATCTCTCTGCTTATCCACACTACCAAGAATCTTACCATTAGCCCAGTACTCTGTATTCCTGTTACTCCTTCCAAAGTGAATCACCTCACACTTTTCCACATTAAACTCCATTTGCCACCTCTCAGCCCAGCTCTGCAGCTTATCTATGTCCCTCTGTAACCTGCAACATCCTTCCACACTATCCACAACTCCACCAACTTTAGTGTCATCTGCAAATTTACTAACCCATCCTTCTACGTCTTCATCCAGGTCATTTATAAAAATGACAAATAGCAGTGACCCCAAAACAGATCCTTGAGGTACACCACTAGTAACTGAACTCCAGGATGAACATTTCCCATCAACCACCACCCTCTGTCTTCTTACAGCTGGCCAATTTCTGATCCAAACCGCTAAATCACCCTCAATCCCATGCCTCCGTATTTTCTGCAATAGCCTACTGTGGGGAACCTTATCAAACGCTTTACTGAAATCCATATACGCCACTCCAACCGCTTTACCCTCATCCACCTGTTTGGCTACCTTCTCAAAGAACTCAATAAGGTTTGTGAGGCATGACCTACCCTTCACAAAACCGTGTTGACTATCCCTAATCAAATTATTCCTTTCTAGATGATTATAAATCCTATCTCTTATAATCCTTTCCAACACTTTACCCACAACCGAAGTAAGGCTCACTGGCCTATAATTACCAGGGTTGTCTCTACTCCCCTTCTTGAACAAGGGGACAACATTTGCTAGTCTCCAGTCTTCTGGCACTATTCCTGTCGACAATGACGACATAAAGATCAAAGCCAAAGGCTCTGCAATCTCCTCCCTAGCTTCCCAGAGAATCCTAGGATAAATCCCATCCGGCCCAGGGGACTTATCTATTTTCACACTTTCCAGAATTGCCAACACCTCCTCCTTATGAACCTCAATCCCGTCTAGTCTAATAGACTGTATCTCAGTATTCTCCTCGACAACATTGTCTTTGTCTTTTTCCTGTGTGAATACTGATGAAAAATATTCATTTAGTGCCTCTCCTATCTCTTCAGACTCCACGCACAACTTCCCACTACTGTCCTTGACTGGCCCTAATCTTACTCTAGTCATTCTTTTATTCCTGACATACCTATAGAAAGCTTTAGGGTTTTCCTTGATCCTACCTGCTAAAGACTTCTCATGTCCCCTCCTGGCTCTTCTTAGCTCTCTCTTTAGGTCCTTCCTGGTTAACTTGTAACTCTCAAGCGCCCTAACTGAGCCTTCACGCCTCATCTCTACATAAGCCACCTCCTTCCTCTTGACAAGAGATTCAACTTCTTTAGTAAACCACGGTTCCCTCGCTCGACCACTTCCTCCCTGCCTGACAGGTACATACTTATCAAGGACACGCAGTAGCTGTTCCTTGAACAAGCTCCACACTTCAATTGTGCCCAGCCCCTGCAGTTTCCTTCTCCATCCTATGCATCCTAAATCTTGCCTAATCGCCTCATAATTGCCTTTCCCCCAGCTATAACTCTTGCCCTGCGGTATATACCTATCCCTTTCCATTGCTAAAGTAAACGTAACCGAATTGTGGTCACTATCACCAAAGTGCTCACCTACCTCCAAATCTAACACCTGGCCTGGTTCATTACCCAGTACCAAATCCAATGTGGCCTCGCCTCTTGTTGGCCTATCTACATACTGTGTAAGGAAACCCTCCTGCACACATTGGACAAAAACTGACCCATCTAAAGTACTCGAACTATAGCGTTTCCAGTCAATATTTGGAAAGTTAAAGTCCCCCATAACAACTACCCTGTTACTTTCGCTCCTATCCAGAATCATCTTTGCAATCCTTTCCTCCACATCTCTGGAACTTTTCGGAGGCCTATAGAAAACTCCCAACAGGGTGACCTCTCCTTTCCTGTTTCTAACCTCAGCCCATACTACCTCAGTAGACGAGTCCTCATCAAACGTCCTTTTTGCCACCGTAATACTGTCCTTGACTAACAATGCCACACCTCCCCCTCTTTTACTACCTTCCCTGATCTTACTGAAACATCTAAACCCCGGAACCTGCAACAACCATTCCTGTCCCTGCTCTATCCATGTCTCCGAAATGACCACAACATCGAATTCCCAGGTACCAGCCCATGCTGCAAGTTTACCCATCTTATTCCGGATGCTCCTGGTGTTGAAGTATACACACTTCAAACCACCTTCCTGCCTGCAGGCACACTCCTGCGACCTTGAAACCTTATTCATGAACTCATTACTCTCAACCTCCTGTACACTGGAGCTACAATTCGGGTTCCCATCCCCCTGCTGAATTAGTTTAAACCCTCCCGAAGAGCATTAGCAAATTTCCCCCCCAGGATATTGGTACCCCTCTGGTTCAGGTGTAGACCATCCCATTTGTCGAGGTCCCACCTACCCCAGAATGAGCCCCAATTATCCAGGTATCTGAATCCCTCCCTCCTGCACCATCCCTGTAGCCACGTACTCAACCGCTCTCTCTCCCTATTCCTCGCCTTGCTAGCACGTGGCACAGGTAACAAACCAGAGATAACAACTCAGTGTGTTCTGGCTCTAAGCTTCCACCCTAGCTCCTTGAATTTCTGCCTTACATCCTCATTCCTTTTCCTACCTATGTCATTGGTGCCTATGTCGACCACGACTTGGGGCTGCTCCCCCTCACCCTTAAGGATCCCGAAAACATGATCCGAGACATCACGGACCCTGGCACCTGGGAGGCAACACACCAACCGCGAGTCTCTCTCGTTCCCACAGAATCTCCTATCTGTCCCCCTAACTATGGAGTCCCCAATGACTAATGCTCTCCTCCTCTCCCCACTTCCCTTCTGAGCAACAGGGACAGACTCTGTGCCAGAGACCTGTACCCCATGGCTTACCCTCAACAGTATCCAAAACGGTTGCAACCGCCCAAATATATTACCTCACTTACTCAGCCGTCCCGTGTCCGCTCCTGCTCAGCGTGCGCTCTGCCTATTCACGAGGTAAGTTTTTAAAGGATTAACTTACCTTCCCGGCAGCCCCCTGGTCCTCGCTCTCACTGCTGCTGCAAAAATGGAATCACGTGAGGTAAGACTTTTATAATCGAAAAGCTTACCTTCCCAGGGTGCCCTCGCGCTTCCTCCTGGACTCCCGCCGCTGAAACAACTGAAAGGATTTCTGCCACTCTGAAGTTTCAAAGCATTTCTAGGTCAGATGGTGTAATGCATCATTCTTGGCATCTTCCCCTATTAAACACCCATCATAGAATTTAGTGAATTGAGGTGGTAGGCAGAAATTCTGCCAGTTTCTCCCCTTGTATGTAGATCAGGCACCAAAGGACAATAGTGCTTTTGGAGCAGTACTGCATCTTCAATGTGCAAGAAGGGGACAGCAAAACTGTCAAAATTGCAGTATGGCCTGATCATCAATTAGTTACTAAATAAAATTTTCTCATATGCCCATGTTTCTTTAATCAAGTTATACATTGATCTCTTTTTCCCAAGGAAATGTTTTGCTATTGTATTACATTCCTCTGTTGCAGTATTCTAGGAGCTGATATGCACCTATACAATTGCAGTGGGGATAATGTTTTCATAATGTGCTTCACTAATTGGGCTTTGAAACTTAAAGAAATAGTGCTATTTCAGGTCTTCATTAATCTGTTTTGATGGTAGAAAGGAAACCAAAATATTTTGGTTTTTAATAATTTCCTAAGAATGTTCATTGCAGAATGAACATGATCTTAATGTCATTTTATAGTAAGTTATTTGCTAAATTACGGGCAGTAATTATAACACTCAACAAGAAAGTGCTGTCTTCCAGTAATTCCAGTGAAATTGATTGGCATTACATGGAACCTGACCTGAACATTAATTGAAAAACTATGGATGTAGTATGCCTACATGGATTAACACTAAGCAATTTATTCAGTAACACAGTAACCTGATGCATCAATGCTTATATTCTCCCTCAATACAAAAATCTTGACCTGCATATCATGATATTGAAGAATCCAACAGACATTTATTGTAGCTATTACCTACAAATATTAGCAGATGATTCACCTATATTTATTCATGTGTTTGTAATGACCCTCCAATTGACTCCTCAGCTTTGCAATACCTTGTAGCTATTTGAGTGAAAATAGAATGCTTCTGATTGTGGATATGTTCATGACCAGCAGTGATACTGCTGTGTAGCAATCAGGAAATACTCTTAGAACAGAATCAGAGAGACAATATCAGCCATTCATGGTTTCTTACCACTGCCATTCATGTGACCAGTGGCAACTTAATATTTTCTGTGTCATGGACCATATCAAACACCCTCAAAATATTCATTAGATAGTCTAGACCCTAACTACTTCTTATTTTAATGTAAGTGTTGCATTCCAGATGCAACTCAATTGGTCAAACTGCTTGGCATTAAGCAAAACACACTTTACTTTTGCACTACAGTTAAAATAGAACAAAAGAAAGAAGAAATTGGAATAACTTAACAGAATAATATATTATTTAGCTACTAAACAGTAAATGTTCCAATACAGTAACATCCAATAAACGCACCCTTGGCAGAGGCAAATTCAGTAAAATAGATTGTCTCACAGGCAACTCTCCAGTCTAGGAGGAAAAACTTCAAGAAAAATCTCGGAGAGGAAGAAATGTACTGCTGCTTCCAAGCACAGCTTCAAGATCCCAGAAACTGCTACAGAAAAACTAAAAGTCCTGACTGTTAGGGATCTTAACCCTGCCCAATCATGCCCTTCTTTTGTACCAACTTTTAAAAAAACCACACCCCAAGGCCTCACAAGCTGTTTACTTCATTGGATTCGAATAGACAGCTCTGTACCTCGTAAAACATCTCTTCAAAAAAAAAGGACAAAATACATCTCTTAAAGCCATGGTATCATCACACCTGTATAGAAACTATGCATTGGCAAACCACTTCATGCACCAAGCTGGATCATGGATAATATTTCAACTGTTAAAATATTACTTTTACCTCCACCCACCATTTATATTTGTGCAGAAAGGAAACTTCTATCAACAGGTATCAAAATAGAACTCAAATTTACGATGGACTCATGAATGAGGGGAGGTGGTTGCCTAGTGGTATTATTGCTGGACTGTTAATCCAGAGACCCAGGTAATGTTCTGGGGATAGTAGGAACTGCAGATGCTGGAGAATCTGAGATAACAAGGTGTAGAGCTGGATGAACGCAGCAGGCCAAGCAGCATCAGAGGAGCGGGAAAGCTAACGTTTCGGGTCTGGACCCTTCTTCAGAAAGACCCTTCTTCTGAAACGTCAGCTTTCCTGCTCCTCTGATGCTGCTTGGCCGGCTGTGTTCATCCAGCTCTACACCTTGTTATCTCTAATGTTCTGGGGACCTGGGTTTGAATCCCACTGCTGCAGATGGTGGTATTTGAATCCAATAAAAGTCTGGAATTAAGAGTCTGATGATGACCATGAAACCATCGTCGATTGTCAGGAAAAAACCTGTCTGGTTCACTATTGTCCTTCTGGGAGGGAAACTGACATCCTTACCTGTGATTTACATGTGACTGCAGAATCACATCAATGTGGTTGACTCTTAACTGCCCTCTGGGCATTTAGGGATGGACAATAAATGCTGGCCAGCCACTAATGCCCGCATCCAATGAACGAATATAACAAAGATCTAATAATCCTGACTCGGAGGGTGATTACAAACTTTGTTGCAAGAGACAATTCCTGAGGGTGATCTCTGGAGCAATGTTGACAGCTACTTTTCTATTCTGTGGACATTTCTTTTCTGAACCATAAAGTTTTGTTGGTGATTATTAGTATAGCTAATTATTAGGATCATTAGTATAGCTAATGCATTTCAGTTGTACTTTGTTCTATGTTATGTAGCATTCACACAAGCAGATTTCAATTTAATGTCCAACACTAGTAAGTGTCACAGGTCAATGAGGAGTAAAGGATGACTGCTGTTTAATCAAAAAAAAAATGTTGTCTTGTTCAAATACATCAAACACCCATTTATAAACGATCAAGTGATGAGTATACCTTTCTATTACCAGGCACCTGAACACTGCCGAACAGAGTGGGGACAATGAGAACCTAATGAGTGTGGTATGTGTTGTACAATTAGCTGCTCTATATCAAAATCTAGCACTGTACTATATAACAATGTTGTGTATTTTTAAAAAATAGAGCGAAGTAAAATCACACTGACATCCTTTCACATGTAAGTGTTAACTTGAATTTTTCTGGGCGATTTTAGATATTTTAATCAGAATAGAGAATTCTCCAAGAACATTTTAATTTATGGTGGTTTCATTGGACTATATTTTTCAGTTTCATGACGCAACTTGCCTCTGTGCTATTTTCCAAGAAAATCAAAATCAGTGTTTACTTGATTTCAAAATTTTGCGTACCCAAAAATAATTGAGCATTGTCATGTGTAGGAACGATATCCAAATTTTTATAGCAGTGAAAGGACTAACTAAGAATTCATTTCCATGCGGGATTGATAACAGAAACTGCTTAATACCAGTGCCAACTTTGCATTGCAAATACACCTTCCTGCCATTCTCCTTTTGTGCACCTTCTCTGTTATTTTTTCTTATAGAGTCATACAGTATGGAAACAGACCCTTCGGTCCAACAAGACCATCCCAAACATAATCCCAAACTAAACTAGTTCTGCCTGCTGAATTTGGCCCATATTCCTCCAAACATTTCTTATTCACGTATTTATCTAAATATCTTTTAAATGTTGTAATTGTACCCACATCCACCACTTCCTCTGGAAGTACATTCCACACAAACCACTCTCTGCGTAAAAACGTTCCCCCCACGTCTTCTTTTTTAAATCTTTCTCTTCTCACCTTAAAAAAAATGCCCCCTAGTCTTCAAATCCCCCACCCTAGGGAAAAGACGCCTGCCATTCATCTTATCTATACCTCTCATGATCTTACAGACCTGTATTATGGTCAGCTCTTGATCTCCTACACTCCAGTGCTAAAACGTCCAGCCTACCCAGCTTGTTCTTATAACTCAAACCATTCCTGGCAACGTTCTAGCAAATCTCTTCCAAACCTTCTTCCCTTATTCTTTCATTTTTCATTTCTCTCCTACTCCTTTCTTGACTGTCTACCTTTCTTTCTTTCCTCTACTTTCTGCAGTAACTTTGTAACACTGTTAACATTTGCGTAAAAAATGTTGTGGGTTCTAGGCCTGCTCCAGAGATTTGAATGAAAACCTCAACTGATGCTTTAGTGTAGCAGAGAGAATCAGTTGCATTGTTGGAGATAGTAAACTGAGAACCAAAGCCTTTTCTATATACTTATTTGGAAGTAAAGGACTACATGGTGTCTTAGTCAATATTTATCCCCCAATCTTCATGAAAAAAACAGATTATCTGGTCATTGACAAACAGAAAAATGAAAGAATAAGGGAAGAAGGTTTGGAAGAAATTTGCTAGAATGTTGCCAGGAATGGTTTGAGTTATAAGAACAAGCTGGGTAGGCTGGACATTTTAGCACTAGAGTGTAGGAGATCGAGGGCTGACTGTGTGAACTTGCTGTGTACAATTTGGCTACCACATTTCCTACTTTGCAACAATGGCTATTAAAAGTACGTCATTGGCTGCAATGTGCTGTGAGATACACTAAGCAGTGTTCCTTATAGTATGCACCTTAGTGCAATAAATTGTCACAATTGACTGTGTGGGGGGATGGAATGGCTAAAAGTGCAAATAGCTGGAGTGACATTGGGAAAAGGTATAGACTTGATTGGGAGAACAGTGATCATGATAGAGAGGGAATCTGTAATTGAAGCAGCAGTAAGTGTAGGAGAGAGAAAACTCAGAGTGGAAGAGCATGGGGAAAGAGTCAATCTGTGATTGGAGCAGGAGCAAGTGTGGGATGGAGGAGTGAGATCACACACTTGGGGAAGAGGGTAAGTGTTTCTGTAATTGGATGTTGCACAGAGAAAAGAGCAAGGAGTCAGACAATGCCTCAAAGCCTCAGAAAGGACCTGGCTTCAGAAGGAAAGAACACTCCAAATTCATTAGTCAAGGGTTGTCAGTCAAGGTGGGCAGTACTCGGGCTAAGTTTGGCAGCAATTAGTCAGCTTGTGAGGAGAGGACCAAGGTGGCTGAATGTAATGGGACCTACAGAGTGTACAGTTGTCAGCACTGAATTAGATCTAGACCCTGGAGATAACCCCATTTCAACTGAAATTCAGTGACCTAGAACTCAGCCTGGAGACAAATGGCCCATAAAAACCCACAGCAACTGGAAGTCACGAACCTATTTGACATGGCTAATCATGGCCAAGAAATTGTCACCTCAGATTGTGACTAAATCCATTGAGAAATTCACTCATACTACCCCATGCAGATGTGAAGAATGTCCCAGATGAAATTTACACCATCACCATCACTCTGGAGATGAAATTCCCCAAGGCCTTATTCATTGTGGCCGGCAACTTCAACCAGGGCCAACCTCAGGAGTACCACCAACACCATCTCCTGCCCCTGTAGAGGACTGAACATCCTGGACCACAGCTACATGACCATCAAAGCCGCCTACTGTCCACATTTAGCGAAATCAGATCACAACACTATGTTCCTCCTCCCAGCTTACAAGCAGAACCTGAAACAAACAGTAATACAATGCTGGCCCAAGGCAGCGGAAGAACATCTCCAGGACTGCTTGGAATCGATGGACTGGACCTCATTAACTTCTCAGCATAAAACTTAGCTGAGTACACCACCACCAACACAGACTTTATTAGCAAATGCGTGGAGGACTGCATGCCAAAGAAGTCAATCTGGGTGTTCCCCAATCAGAAACCTTGGATGAACTGGGAAATCCATTCTCTATTGAAGACCAGCTGGGCAGCATTCAAGTTAGATGACCCAAACCTGTACAGAAAATCCAGATATGACCTCCACAAAGCCATCGGAGATGCCAAGAGGCAATACCAGACCAAATTAGACACCCAAACCAACCATATGGACTCCCGCTGCCTATGGCAAGGCCTAAACAACATTACGGGATACAATATGAAGCAGAGCAGGATAGCAGACAAAGACACATCCCTCCCTGATGCACTCAATGCTTTCTATGCTCAGTTCGAGCAGAATGCCAGCGACATGATGTCACTTGCCCCAACATCCCTGGACACACCTGTTCTCCCTGTCATGGCTGCAAAAGTCAGATCGATCTTCCTGGGAGTCAACCCAAGTGAATTGACAGGCCCGCATGGTGTCCCCGGCCGAGTGCTCAGATCCTGCGTGGACTAACTGGCGGACATATTCACCGATATCTTCAATTTCTCCCTCCTACAAGCCGAAGTCCCCACCTGCTTCAAGAAGACCACCATCACCCCTGTACATAAGAAAGCACCTGCACTGTGCCTTAATGACTACCGCCCAGTGGCTCTGACCTCTACAATCGTGAAGTGCTTCAAGAGGCTGGTCATGGCCCACATCAGCTCCAGTCTCCCAGCCCGCCTCGATCCCTTGCAATTTGCCTATTGATGTAACAGATCCAGAGCAGACGCCATTTCCCTAGCGCTGCACTCATCCCTGGAACATTGGACAACAAGGACACCTACATCAGCCTCCTGCTCATTGACTACAGCTCCACCTTCAACACCATTATCCCCTCCAGACTGATCTCAAAACACTGTGACCTTGGTCAGGGCTCCACCCTCTGCAACTGGATCCTCAGCTTTCTGACCCATAGACTGTGATCAGTAAAGGTAGACAACAGCACCTCCTCCACAATAACACTCAACACTGGAACCCTCCAAGGATGCGTTCACAGCCCCCTACTGTACTCTCTACACACGTACGACTGTGTTATCAAATTCTGAACAAACGCCATCGACAAGTTTGCTGATGACACCACCGTTGTAGGACAGGCATCAAACAACAATGAGTCAGAATACAGAAAAGAGATAAAGAGCTTGTTGGCTCAGGAAATTTGGCATGCCCATGAGGACGCTCACCAACTTTTACAGATGCACCGTAGAAAGCATATTGTCCAGGTGCGTAATGACCTGGTACAGCAACTGCTGTGCCCAGGAGAGACACTACAGCCCAGACCATCATGGAAGACAACATTCCATCCATGGACTCTATTTAAATGTCTTGTTGCCACTGAAAGGCTGCCAACATCATCAAAGACCCCTCACACCCCCGGTAATGTTCTCCTACAACCTCTTCCATCAGGCAGCAGATACCGAAGCCTGAACACACGCACCAACAGGTTCCAGAACAGCTTCTTCCTTGCCGGTATTAGAATGGACTCTCTAACTTCAAATAGTGCTGATCTTGTTAATATTCATCTTGCTTTGCGTTTGTCCTGTGCGGTGTAACCTGTATGTCTCACTTTGTCCAAGTTTTTTCACCCTATGATCTGTATATCGTTGCTTACAATGATCACTCTGTACTGCTGGCAAGCAAAGCTTTTCACTGTATTTAGGTACATGTGACATTAAATCAAATAAAATCAATGAGAGCCCGATGCTTTCTAATAGACAGGGTTTTGAAGCAGATTAAACTATTGATTGCACATATGAAGCATGGCCAGAGAACATCTTTTTTTTGGGCAAGGTCAAAAATCACATAACACCAGCTTATAGTCCAACAGGTTTATTTGAAAACACTAGCTTTCGGACTGCTGCTCCTTCATCATGTCTTCAAAATAAACCTGTTGGACTATAACCTGGTGTCGTGTGATTTTCGACCTTGTCTAACCCAGTTTGACACTGGCACATTGTGTGTTTTTTGGGTGGCACCGTGGCTCAGTGGTTAGCATTGCTCCCTCACAGTGCCGGGAACCCAGATTCAATTGCACCCTCAGGTGACTGTCTGTGTGTGGAGTTTGCACGTTCTCCCCATATCTACGTGAATTTTGTTGGGCTGCTCCAGTTTCCTCCCACAGTCCAAAGATGTACAGGTTCGGTGGATTGGCCATGGGAAATGTAGGGGTACAGGCATAGGGTAAGGTGGTGGATCTGGGTGGGGTGCTCTTTGGAGGGTCGATGTGGACTCGATGGGCTGAATGGCCTGCTTCCACACTGTAGGGATTCTACGATTTCTATGATTTAGCATTGACCAATCCATATATACCATCCTGTGAGCTGAAGATTAATTGACGTTTTCCTGGTTACTGGGTAACTGATGAGAGACCTGGCTAAGTAAGTTTCCTTCCACTCTTTAGCCTGATGAGTAGACTTTTATAGCTGTATGTGATCTAGATTCAGGATTATTCAACCTCATTACAGAGCCGCATAAGATATTCCTAAAAAAGCACTCCACTGTGGAAATAATCCTCCAGGCCAGAACCTGATCTGCTCATGGCCTTCTGGACTTGTAAATGACAGTATTTGAAGATTTTGAATGATTGTGTCCTCCAGTAAACAGTTATCCAAGCAGTCCACAATCCTGCTAGGCCTGACTGAAGTGGGAGTACAGTATCAGTGGGAACAGGAGCTGGGTATCAATTCCTGCCTATCCTGCTGCCAAAACCCTGTAACATTGCATGAGCTTTTAAATTCCCATGAGCACAGTGGAATGACTATCCATGCTCGCCCTTATTAAGGAGTGCATTAGACAGCAACCCCTGACATTTGCATAGGTACAGTTAAGCACAAAAATTGAAAATGTTTTGTCCGAGTTTCCCTGCTGCTCCGGAGGTTTTGCTCTAGCAATACCGTGCAGAGTGATTCTATTATAAAATACATGGAATGGAGTGAATTAGTGGTACCTGTGTGATTGATACTGACTAAACATGTTCAGAAATATTTAGGGCTTGTCCATGGAAATGTAGGTGAATTTCCAATGGTGTGATAAATTTTAGTTGCTGCTAATCAACTTCTCTAGCCTTGGAAATTCAGTTTTACATAAGTGGAGTCTCCATGGCTTCACATTTTAATCATTGTTGGAGATTTCTTAAAATATTTTGAAATTTTTTTTGTCTTTCAAATCACTCTAAATCCCATCTTTCTTTTCCCCTCATTACTTAGATTTCTGTGAATTTCCAGCTTTGGACTCTGTGTATTCTGATGAGAACTTTTCCATCTGATCAGTTGAAGAGACATTCTGTTCACCTTGCTTATACAGGCTCCTGTTCTGTGCAGACTTTGCAACATTGCTTTCAGTGACTGACAATTATTTAAGTCACAGTGAAAAAGTTCACATAACTGCAATGAATATCATGTGCTGTTCATTTTGCTGCTAAAATTGAAATACCAGCAAATGCATTTAACTTTTCAGAAGTTTCTTTTTAAATCTTGTTTCCATTTTAATTTCTTAATTCATTTAATTTAGCATAGGTACCATATTTTTCCAATCAAAGTGGTGACCAAGTGACCAAATCTAGTATTTGGTGAGCATCATTTTTGGCCAGTTATTAGGAGCAAAAGAGGAAGCAAACCATTCACTATCTATTCATCTGTGTCCACCGGTAAAAATGCTTCCATGGTCTCTCCTCTTTCTCTCTTGTGTCACAGATTTAACTTTAAACTTAACATGTGCAAAATTACAAGTATCTATGTCCTGGTGAATAGTGCGACTACACTTCTGCTTCATATTTTTAGAGCGATCGCTCCTCAAGCCTGTGCAGCGATTTGGTGAGATCATGGCTGATCTTCAGCTCAACACACACTAACTTTGCATTTATTCCCCACACCCTTCAATAACTTTGATTAACAATTACCTATTAATTTCACTTTTAAATTTAACAGCCTTGCTCTTTCCAAAAGGGAGCTTCTAACCTTTATCATCCTTTGTGTTTAGAAACATTTAATAATTGTGAAAATGGTGACAGTTTAATTTTTAAAGCCTTCCTTTTGTGGTTAAATGGTTCTTTTGGTGGAACATAACCTTACAAAATATTAACTTCCTATAAGCAGCTCCAATATTTACAGAGCAGTTTATAACTATTAAAATGAACACATAACTGACAGGACTATAAACACACATGTTTGCATGGAAGTTAACGATGTAAGTTACTATGCTGCAAGATATTTTCTTTTGTGCTTTATTTTGAGGAAACCTCTTTTTCAATTTGTTTCAATGGTAGTGCAAAGATGAATATATCGTATAAGGAAAAGCACCAGAGGAACTGGAAGAGTCGTCATTTTTGACATAGATAATTTTAAAGCAGTTATTTTTGCTTGTTTTAGAGTAATATCTTAATACAGATCTTAAATTAATTTCTTTATAGAATCAAGATCATGTTGTAATTTTGATAATTTAATTTACAGCCTTCAGAGAAAGAGACCAACAGCTATTCAGTCACAAATTTTGGAAATGCGGTGCCAGCAAATGGTCACACTGACAGCCTTGCCAATGGAGACAGTAAGTGAGCAACTAGCATTTAGGAACATAGTGGCATTTAAAGTAACATTCTCTTTATTTGACTTTAAGCAATCATAAAACAGTCATGCATAGTAATCTTTAATTAGATGATATTTGTTCCTCAAATAGTTCGTAAGACTGAATAAATGCTCTATTTGTAGAAATGTCAATTGCGTATTTGTCAAACGGTTGGTCATTGCCATTTTGTGTTATTCTGTTCACATTATATGAAAAGTATTACATAGCACTTTTTCATTCTGTTCAGTGCAAAACCATCATCATCACATTTGTTTCATGCTGTTAGATTTTGGAGCAATTTTCACCCAAATGCAAACAATCCTACATGTCTCATAGCAACATTTACTTTTAAAATGGAATGATGTGTAAATGATTTTATTTTGACAGTTCTTTCAGATGAGATTCCAAATATTCAGTCTTCTGAAAATGCAGTGCTTCCAATTGTAGTGTTCCAACAAGAAAATTCCTGTAAATCTTCAAAATGTCCTCAGAGCAGAGAACTGCCACAAATACCTGGGAATGATTCCATACCAAACATTGAATCTACAACAGTGACTGGAAGCGGGATCTCTCATGGAGTGTATGAACCGTATGAGGTGCTAAAGGACAGTTCTTTGCAAGATATAATTGTTGAAGACTCTCTCTATGAAACTGTGAAGGAGCCAAAAGATGAATCTGGCAGTGTGGCAAATGAAATTTATTCTCAATCCGAAAATGTAGATTTGAATATTGTGGTACAGTGCCAAAATCCCAAACTTACTGGTGCTACTCCAGAATATGCAACGGTAAGCAAGGTGAAAATGAATCAACAGAGCTCTCCAGCAGAAGAGATGGTGGTTGGTGAAGATGATCCACCACCACTTCCAGTAAAGGAGTTGAGTGATAATGAGAACGTGGATGGTAAAGATGCAGAGGTGAGCTGTTCGTTATTACTCCTTCATATCTGCTCTTTGAAACACTAAATCTCTCTCATTGGGTCGAGAAGGATCTACCAAATTGGGTTGAAATAACTCCACAGAGGCTGGTATCCTGTCACCAAGTCACCCTTTATTTACACATGAACACTGATCCAGCTCCCTCAGAGCCAGTTCTCAAAGTGAACAGAATGTCTGACACTCCTGTTCTTATCTGTTAGCCAGGGCTCTCTGATTAGATCAGATTAACAGCCCCAACCAGGGAACCCATTTTCTATGAGGTCCACCTGGCTGATTGTGTTACAATCACTTCAGGAGTGTCTTCAACTTAGTCAACAGTGTTGTTGAAATTTTTATTTTTATATATAATTTTATATTTTAAAAAAATGGTTTATTTGTGAATCCCTTTTCTGTTTCATCTTCAAAGTAATTCATTTTCTCCATACTATTGCTTTTTTTCTTCCTGATTGATACCTATGCTTTTTCAAAAGATTTCTACCCTGCTTCTTAGTAGAAAACTATTTTCTGAAGCATAATTTGAAAAACTTCAGTTCACTTACAAATGAAAACTTAAACATTTTTGACGTACAAGCTCCAACACAATTAATTTCTAACTCTTGTATTAAATAGCATTTAATTTTTAATTCTAGATCTTTAATTCTCTACTTGACCCGGTTATGATCATCTTTGTGTAAGGATGAATAATTTGCTAGTGACAATTTTTGAATGAAATGACTGGCAGGTCTCAGCTGGTGTTGCTTACAATAAATTGCAGAACACTATCGGCTTTTATAAACTAGATGTATTTCTTAATGCATCACAGGACAATAAATTGTGAAGTATAGCTTTATATAAATTAGCTTGATGCTTAAGGCCACATGGTCTCATTGCTTTAAATAGATGTATCCTGAGGTCAGTTAGAGACTAATTGCTTTTTGTAAGGCTCACTTGGAAGTACTTTGTTACTGAAGAAATTTCTTTACGTTGCTTGTTGCTTGTAAGTCTTTGGCACCTCTCGTATAAAATGGAAAATTAAAGGAAGACGTGACTGTCTTTTATGCTTTTTAAAATACTAGTATCGAATGCAACAAAAATTAAGGCAAGTAATTAAATGTGATAATCAGTATTGGACTTCTCAAACCTTGTATACACACAGTGAATCTCTGGTAAGTTGCTCAAGGCTAGCGAAGAAATGTAGGCAGCAGGTACATACATTGCACTTACTGCCCTTCAAATGCCAATTTGATATGTAGAAGTACTTAGCAAATAGGTGGGTGGCACAATGAAGGCGATGGCCTGGTGGTATTATCGCTAGACTATTAATCCAGAAACTCAGTTAATGTTCTGGGGACCAGGTTCGAATCCCACCACGGCAGATGGTGAAATATAAATTCAATTAAAAAAGCAATCTGGAATTAAGAATCTACTGATGAGCATGAAATCAGTGCCGATTGTTGGAAATACCCATGTGGTTCACTAATCCCCTTCAGGGAAGGAAATCTGCCATCCTCACCTGGTCTGGTCTACATGTGACTCCAGACGCACAGCAATGTGGCTAACTCTCAGTTGCCCTCTGAAATGGCCCAGAAAGCCACTCAGTTGTACCAATCACTACAAAATCTTAAAGAAATGAAACCGGACAGATCACTTGGCATTGACCTAGGCAATGGAAACGATAACAGCAGAAACTGCCCTGTCGACCCTGCAAAGTCCCCCTTACTAATATCTGGGGGCTAGTGCCAAAATTGGGAGAGCTGTCTCACAGACTAGTCAAGCAATAGCCTGACATTGTCATACACATGGAATTATACCTTACCAACAATGTCCCAGACACCACCATCACCATCCCTGGGTATGTCATGTCCCACCGGCAGGACAGCAGAGGTGGCAACATCATGGTATACAGTCAGGAGGGCGTTTCCTTGGGAGTCCTTAACATTGACTCCGGACCCCATGAAGTCTCGTGGCTTCAGGTTAAACATGAGCAAGGAAACCTCCTGCTGATTACCACGTACCGTCCTCCCTCAGCTGATGAATTGGTATTCCTCCATGTTCAGCAATACTTAGAGGAAGCTCTGAGGGTGGCAAGTGCATAAAATGTACTCTGGGTGAGGGATTTCAATGTCCACCACCAAGAATGGCTCGGCAGCAGTACTGATCGAGCTGGTCAGGTCCTAAAGGACATAGCTGCTAGACTGGGTCTGCGGCAGGTGGTGAGAGAACCAACAAGAAGGAAAAATATACTTGAACTCTTCCTTGCCAATCTGCCAGCTGCAAATACATCTGTCATGACAGTATCGATAAGAGTGGCCACTACACAGTCTTTGTGGAGACAAAGTACCGCCTTCACATTGCAAGTCATCTCCATCATGGGACAGACTTCAAACAGATCTAGCAACTCAAGACTGGGCATCCATGAGGCGCTGTGGGCCATCAACAGCAGCAGAATTGTACTCCAGCACAATCTGTAACCTCATGGACAGCGTATTCTCCACTCAACCATTACCGTCAAGCCAAGGGATCAACCCCAATTCAGTGGAAAGTGCAGGAGAGTACCAGGCATACTTGAACATGAAGTGTCAAACTGGTGAAGCCACCAAACAGGACTATTTGCTAAACAGCATAAGTAGCAAATGATAGACAGAGCTAAGCGATCCCACAACCAATGGATCAGATCTAAGCTCTGCAGTTCTGCCACATCTAGCCGTGAATGGTGGTGGATAATTAAACAACTCACTGGAGGAGGACACTCCACAAATATCCCCATCCTCAATGATGCAAAAGCCCAACACATCAGTGCAAAAGATGAGGCTGAAGCATTTGCAGCAATCTTCAGCCAGAAGTGCCGAGTGGATGATCCATCTCGGCCTCCTCCAGTGGCCCCCAGCATTACAGATACCAGTCTTTAACCAATTCAATTCACTCTACCTAACATCAAGAAACGGTTGGAGACACTCTGGATACTGCAAAGGCTATGGGCCCTGACAACATTCCGGCAATAGTACTGAAGACTTGTGCTCCAGAACTTCCTGCTCCCTTAGCCAAGCTGTTCTAGTACAGTTACAACACTGGTATCTACCCAGCGATGTGGAAAATTGCCCAGGTATGTCCTGTGCACAAAAAGCAGGACAAATCCTACTCTGCCAATTACCGCTCCATCCGTCTACTCTCGATCATCGGTAAAGTGATGGAAGGTGTCATCAACATTGCTATCAAGCAGCACCTGCTCAGCAATAACCTGCTCAGTGACGCCCAGTTTGGTTTCTGCCAGGACCACTCAGCTCCTGACCTCATTACAGCCTTTGGTTCAAATATGGACAAAAGAGCCGAATTCCAGAGGTGAGGCGAGAGTGACAGACCTTGACATCAAGGCTGCATTCGAGTGAGTGTGGCTTCACAGAGCCTTAGCAAAACTGGAATCAATGGGTATTAGGGGACAATCTCTCCGGTGGTTGGAGTCATACCTGACACATAGGAAGGTGGTCGTGGTTGCTGGAGGTCAGTCATCTCAGCTCCAGGGCATCTCTGCAGGAGTTCCTCAGTGTAATGTCCTAGGCCTAAACATCTTCAGCTGCTTCATCAGTGAGCTTCCCTCCATCATAAGGTCAGAAGTGGGAATGTTTGCCAATGATTGCACAATGTCCACCATTCACGACTCCTCAGATACTGAAGCAGCCCATGTTCAAATGCAACGAGATCTGGACAATATCCAGGCTTGGGCTGACAAGTGGCAAGTATCATTCGCGCCACACAAATGCCAGGCTATGACCATCTCCAATAAGAGACAATCTAACCACTGCCCTTTGACATTCAGCGATGTTACCATCACTGAGTCCCCCATTATCAACATCCTGGCGGTTATCATTGACCAGGAACTCAACTGGACTCACCACATAAACACTGTGGCTGTAAGAACAGGCCAGAACCTCGGAATACTGTAGCCAGTAACTTACCTCCTGACTCCTGAAAGCCTGTCCACCATCTACGAGGCAAAAGTCAGGAGTGTGATGGAATATTCCTCACTTGGCTGGATGAGTGCAGCCCCAACAACACTCAAGTTGCTTGATACCATCCAGGACAAAGCAGCCTGCTTGATTGGCACTACATCCACAAGCATCCACTCCCTCAGTAGGAGGAGCGTGTACTAAATACAAGGTGCGCTGCAGAAATTCGCCAAAGATCCTCGGACAGCACCTTCCAAACCCATGACCACTTCCAACTTGAAGGACAAGGGCAGCATATATGTGGGAACACACCACCTTCAAATTCGCCTCCAAGCCACTTACCATCCTGACTTGGAAATTTATCACCATTCCTTCATTGTCGCTGGGACAAAATCCTGTTTCAGTTGGGGGTTTTGGAGTTGAAGCTGCTAGATCTGTCTCAGCTGCCGCAAAAAGGTTGCGTTCTCTCTCTGTTGGTAGACTCATTTTTTTGGTGTTCCTAGTCTGGAGGAGATAGCAAGTGAGAGAAATCTGTTTTGCTGAATTTGCATTTGCCAGGGGTGTGTTTATGGGATGCTGCTATATTGGAGCAGTTGATGGGTTGTAGTTAAGTAATATACGATTTTGTTAAATATTTTAATAGAGTCAAAGTTATGCCAGTTCTTTTTTGTTTGTATTTTAACTGGAGTGTGAGAATAAAGAGGTAACAAGGTGTAGAGAAGGATGAACACAGCAGGCCAAGCAGCATCACAGGAGTAGGAGAGCTGATGTTTCGGGCCGAGACCCTTCTTCAGAAATGGGGGAGGGGAAGGGGGATCTGAAATAAATAGGGAGAGAGGGGGAGGCAAATAGAAGATGGATAGAGGAGAAGATAGGTGGAGAGGAGACAGACCGGTCAAAGAAGCGGGGATGGAGCCAGTAAATGAGAGTGCAGGTGGAGAGGTAGGGAGGAGATAGGTCAGTCCAGGGAGGACAGACAGGTCAAGGGGGCGGGATGAGGTTAGTAGGTAGGAGGGGGGGGTGGGGCTTGAGGTGGGAGGAGGGGATAGGTGGGAG